TTTTTTTTTTTTTTTTTTTACGAGCTAAATTAAATGTTTTACTTTCCCACTGATTCAGCATCTTACCATTATTCTTAGCAAAGATCAAGTCAAAAGACGAAGTGGAGCAACCAGTCCCTTTACAATTCGTTCATGCACTTCGATGACAAACTGGTACTGGCACATGTCAAAAAGTCGAATCTGTCACTAGCCTTTTTTAAGCAAAACTCGAAAAAGGAGATATCGGCAGTCTTGCCAACTGGCTACTTCCCGGATACTTCCAAGTGATTTTGCTTGTCATACAGATTGAATACAGAGGACTTTTTGATTTTAACGTAATGAAAATATTAGTAAAATCATTTCTTCCACTAAGTCGCTGTGCTTTTCCAACTAAATTTTACATTTTTCAACTCCTCTGCGTATATTCCATATGAGCGAATATGAAATCTGTCAAAAACTTCTAAAATGGTAAATTTTGGGAGTTACAAGTTTTTAAAGCGAGGTAGTGATATTCAACAAATGTTAACGACGTCTCAAAACGTTTAAACTTTGCCATAAGCTTCTGCTGGAAAAGCCCATGAACGTCGGAATTGATGCGGGCTGTCGCTATCAAATTGATGAGACTGTTGAAAACTCCTTCGATGCAAAGCGCACCGAGGCCAGCTCAATCAGAGCAGCATTGATCAGAGCAACTAGAAAAGTTCCCCGATGTATAGCTGTAGAAACAAGCTATGAACTGTGACTATTCGAAGTTTATTTACGTAGTGGACTCTTCTAGAAAGATCAGTCAAGCAGATGCTCTCCTCCACCGCGGATGATGAAAGATAAATAGCAACGCGCACCAATACTAGCCGATGCGATCATGCGTTTTGTGCAATCCAGCCCATCGAACGATTGCATATTAATGATTTTCACTGCTCTGTACTTTAATCTATGCAAAAACAGTTCAAACATTGGAAAATATTTAGAAATTTCACGCGTATGCGCATGAAAGCTGAATTCGAAACAATGAACAGTGAATATCTCTCCGTGATTCCCGAGTTGATAGTTTACCCGCCAAAATTTTCACGAGGCCGTAGATGATACCCGAGAGCGCGGGAAAGCCGAATTTGAATAGGCAAGATTGAGCGTGGGCAGGGGGTCACTACTCTAAAATTTCAGCTTCTTAGACACCGTAGTTCCCGAGATAATAATTTACCCGTCAAAAATTTTCACGGGGCCGTACGCGTTACCGCAGAACCGGGGAAAGTTGAATTTAAATTTTTTGGATAGTACATGGGCGGATAACATGCTCACAAAATCTCAGTCTTCTACCTTCCGTGGTTCCCGAAATAATGATTTTACCCGAAAAACTTTTACGGGGCCATATGTGTTACCCGCGGGTACGGGAAGGCTTAATTTAAATTTGCCGCCTCACTCGTCGACGGGGAACACTACACTAAAATTTCAGCTGCCTAGCTTTTGTGGTTCCCGAGTTGAAAGTGCGGGACAAAATGTGGGACACACAAACAGACAACCCCATGACAATATGCGTTTTGTACTGCTGTTAAAAAGCAGAAAACGCATAAAAAAGTGACAAACCTGTGGCACATTGAAGCCATCCGATAAGCCTACTCGATCGGCCATTGAATCAAAAAATAGCCATTTATTAGCGTTCATGGCACGCACAAATGCTACGTAGTGTGATGTTTCGATGCAAAGTACGGAGGCCAGTTGAAGCTTTTTTTGTGGAATTTGAGTTCGTCGTGAAAGCGACAGCGATGAGAATGCCGAGGAGACCTGCAGATGTTGCGGCTGATGATCCAGACCACAGTGTGCTCGATCATAACATATCGTACAATATGTCACCTAAATAGAAGCACACATTTTTTAGGTACATGAAATTCCCAGGGATAACAAAATGTTCACTTTTTAATTCGCTGAAATTAAAAATCATCATAAAATATCATGTGCGCATATGTCGTTTTTGATGAGTAAGTATATCGTACTGTACCACTCTGGTCAGTGGTCAACTTAGTACTGCAAATTTCCGTTCTAACGACGTAATTGACAATTTTCAAGATTCCTATGACTAAAGTTGGATCACTTGATGGCCAACCTGCTAGCCATTCTACAGTTTCCATC